GCTAAAGTTAAACAATTTATCATGTGTCTACTATTATAAGCCATGGCTGTTGTGGTGTCCCAGCCACACTTTTTTCTACTTATTTGTATAGTTGCTGAATTGAGTGTGATCTTGGTGGAGTCAATTTAAATAATATAAATTAAATAATAATACAAAAATATTATTATAAAATCATACCTTGTATATTGCACATTGAAATAGGACACTCAACATGTTCAACATTTTTTAATTATTGTCATTGAATGAGGATAGAGATCATGGATTTTATTCCGTTCAACAAGTTGCAGTTTTATGAACAACAAACAATCCTTTTAAAATGCTGAATTTGTTTTCTGCTATTCAGAGAGCTGCAACATTGCTTACTGTTTGTTGAGCAACCAACGGTTAGAGCCAAACAAATTTAACTGACCTGAGAGACAAGGAGAGCAAAAGCAGTTGGTGAAAAGAGAGACACTCCCCATTTTGCTGGGTCCGCGACATCAGCAGTGATGAGTGGAATAGCAATGCAACCCAGTGCAGGACTCATTATCGACACCACTACACCTGCAGTCTTGGCAACCTTGAAAAACGGTGACAGCAAAAAGGCCAGCATAATGATTGACAAACCATACAAGAAGAATAATATGACCATTAGAACATAATTGCTTCCACCCAAGCGTCCGGCTGGCACCAAGATGGCATTCAAGATGAGAGAGGCAACAAGCAGAACTACTCCATAAGTAACGCACCAAGATAACCAGTAGGCAATATCTGACATGCCCATGATTCTCATCAAGTCTTTGAGCTTCTTCTCCTTTTCCAGAACCAGATTAATTAACAGGATAACTATGTATGGTGTGAAGGCCAGCACCATGTAAATTGATGCTGTTATTGCAAAACCTGTAAAAGATTGAGTGAAGGATTCTTTGGGCATCATTTTTGCTTGGATGTTTGGAACAACATAGGATGGCAAACGGGCTTCAACCTTCAAACAAAAAAAATCCAAACACTGTATTATTATATTTGAAAGGTATAAAAATGTCTTTTTGTATTTGAGCTAAATTTATATCTTAGCCTGATGTTTATCTGTGTATAAATAAAAGTGATGATGATGATGATGATGATGATGATGATGATGATGATGATGATGTAAACAAAACTTAGCCAAAACAATAGACCCCAGGGGGGAGGGGGTTGGGTCTCTCCCAGTGGGGTCATGATTTCAGGTTTCCTGATCTTAAACAGGCTATTCATTTAAGGGATGTTTCCAAGAATGGGATGTATTACTTAAAATGCATGAAGCTTAAGCCATTTGATTTATTCAAACAGACAGAAGTTGCTTCCCAAAATAGAAAAATTTTGTGAAACAGGGTATAAAATTGAAATGGGTAACAGTTCAAGTGCATTAATTCTTTCCAAAACAGGGTCAAACCTTTGAGGACACAGATAGTACACGGACAAGCAACACAGTCACCGCCCCCGCCCCCCCTCCCATCCTCCCCTAGCAATGTCTTAATAATAAATGTAAAATTTTATTATCTATTAAACCTACAGCCCCAGACAAAATAGTTGGGACACTTGGTCACTTTCACTCTCTCTGCCTTTACAAATAAAGCAGACATCACAGCAAGATTTGTAAATTTCTTTATGCACAGCCCGAAGAGATACCTGAATGGGCAAATATACTGACTTTCTCTCCCAAACACCCTAAGTGAGACCAAAATCTGCAGTTACAGCCCTAAGCGAGATGACAAGCATCCCTGTCACTTTTCCATGGGAGTCCCCCCTTCCTCTGCTGGGATTGTAGATGGCCTCTAACAGCTTGTGGATAACTTACCATAGTAATTGCAGCATCAATGCTTGCTTGTATGGCTGTCACATGTGCAAAAATGTACGAGTTAGCAGGACAGGAACCCAAACTTACGCTGTTTGGATCACGACATTGACCCTGACCTACAAAAAAAGATCAGAACAAAGAAAGAAGTCGTTCATTTCTCTACCCTGTTTGAGAAAAGATCCACCTTATTCAGGGCTGTGTTCTGGCACTGTCCAGTGGCCCCTAGCTGTTTACTTTTGCTATTGGGCAACTAGGAAATCTTAGCTTTTTCACAGAAATCCTATGCTGGGTAGCCTGGATTTCCCAGGTTCAGAGCGCTTGGTTCCCTTGAATTTCTTTTTTCTTAGAGCACAACCTTGACACTTTTGGTTTGGGTTTTTGGTTTTGATTTGGTTTGGTTGAGAATTTTTTTTTCTCCACACCTCTGGTGATACAATTCTTTTTCCCCAACATACAACATTCTAATAAATTTTTTTTTTCCCGATGATTACAAGCCTTGAAAGAGATTTTTCCTCCGGGTAATTCCTTGCAACAATTTTGGGGGGGCAGCGTAAAGTGCAGACTGCAGACTGACTACGGACTATTTGTTTTTAGGGTTAGAAAACAACAGGACTATTGTTGTCATGTACTCATTTGCATGGTCTACAGCCTGTGTTTTACACTGACCAAATTTTTTTCCCTTGAAATCACCCTGCAGGATATTTTTTACTGAAATCACCCACATCCCCCACCTCAAAAGTCAAATGGTCGGCCCCTAATGTGATTGTTTTCGGCGACTAATCAGGAGAGACCTTACAAGCAGCTCCTACACAACTGCCTTATGAACAGGGGTTAGCCCGGGCAGGGTGGGGGCGGGGATGGGCGCGGTTGGATGGTGATTCAAGATGGTGATAGGTATGGCGGTGGGGCTTTGCTATTATGTCCTCTTTTCTGACTTGCAAATACATAACAAAAATAATCATTAATGGGAATTGCTTCGAGCAAAAAACCGGCCTTTCCATGGAGTGAAGCCACAGACAGAAATATAAACACTTACCAGTGAGTCGTTCCTCGGGGTTGGGAATAGGGGCTGACTTCGTACCAACGTGCAAGGTATAAGCCATCTTGTCGCTCTTGCCTTTAGCAAATTCAATTCCCATCTCAAAGCCCGTGCTTTCGCTGTACTTTCTGTAATAATCCAACATGCTGTCCGTATCGTTGAACTCCAAATAACTCACCTTCCCCGAGAAGTTGTTCATATTTTCGATAACCCGGCGCGCGTTTTGAATGTCATTGACCACATATCCAACGATAAAACCTTCCCGCCCTGAACTCGATGGAGCGAGGGCTGAAACGTTAAAAGTTGGAATGTCGCTGTCTCTGACAGGAGCTAGTTTTTGCTTTGGAATGGATAATCCAATAACCAAGAGAAGGACTACCCACCATATTGGAACAAGCACTTCTTGTAATGTTTCTCGTAAATTTCGCCGCTTGATTAAATAATTTTTACGAAGAAGATATTTAGTCTGCCTTAAAATCCCCATTCAGTGAATCAACCAAAAGACACAATGTTTTCTTTGATCATCCACTATCCGTAATTCACACCTTTGAGCAGTGCTTACAGCTGAAACAGCTGAATCGGGAACGTACACACCGCTCGCTAATTTATCTGTTCAAATGATGACCTCATAGCCTCTATAAGAACCAATCAGAGAGTGCGCCCACTTTTAGCATATGACATATAATGACATATGCTTTCGAATGCATGTTTACGTAATAAGAAGGAAAAATCTAAACATTTTGGTGACTTCAAAATCCCATGACTTCTTTTTATAACACGTCGAGTGGCAAATCCACTTGATTTCCATAGATACAACAACATACATACATACTACCACAAATTTCTGCAATTTAATTGACTTAAAGCAGTGGTATTTCAGCTTAATTTGAAATACCTATATGTGAAAATTACAAACCTTTTGTGGGTAGTAGTATGAACAAATAATAGCATGATTTTTACGTGATATTTGGCAGAAATACCACTTGCGATATTTCAAAATTATCTCAGCGTATAACAATTTTGATAGATCACTTGTGGTATTTATGGCAAATATCACTACCAATCATACTATTACCTTTACAAACTGCATTTATTTTTGTTCTCGCCAGGCAAAGACCAGGGGACTCTTTTTTTTTTTCGTTCTAAGAGGATGAACTTTCAGTGATTGGCCATATGGTACACCAGTATGAGAGAGGTGCAAATCTAGTGTATTACTGGTGCTTTGTATCCTTGTGAGTGACTTAGATAGGCACAGCTGAAACTCTCAGAAACTTGTTAAGGTTTAAAACAAAATTCATTTATTCCTTTTCCATTTTACCCACAAAGAATTCAATTATGCATTTGCTATCATATGGGGCATTAAGGGGTCATAAGGACACCCGCTTTATTGGCACGACTCAATTCATTTTAACCACTAAGAAAAACCAAAAAATCAGCTGAGTAAGAAATGTCATTCCAAGTACTTTTGGCATGATGCCCTTCAAGGCCCCTTGAAGGGCATAGCCTAGTTAAAGAGCATAGTCTACAAGTAAGCTGCCGTTTTCGGTGACGTCAAGCAGTGCTTTCCCCACAACACAAAGATCTGCTGTATGAGACTACCCTAAGCACGGGGCATTTATTAGATAGGGGGTGTCACTTAGATCATTTACGGTACCCATTTACAAGCAATCTTAACCCCTAAAAGGTATGAGACAAAACGCACTTAAATCCCGTCAAGCCCTCTCTTAGGCTAGGGACAACAAGGAACTGAGTTCATTACAAATACGAACTTACAGACCTTCACTGCATTCCAGTCTGGGGTGCACTCACAGTGAAATAAGGTGGGGACAACTTCAAGCATATCACTATATTTTGTCAAATTATCCTAGCATTAAATTGGTGCCTTTGTTCACAGCAACTGGGAGTAAGGTACCCTGTGAAGGTAATAATATTGGTTCAGCTTTTATCATAAGAGAGTACTTTCAGTATTGATGTGAAAGAAATAGCTTTAAGTTGATTCAATTAATATATGCAAAAATTATTTGTAAATCAGAAGCCCAATGAGTCTTATGTTAGCAGGGGGATCGGACTAAAACAGGACATGGTAGCACAGTATGAATTGAATAACAAGGTCCATAATTGGCTTTCTAAGGAGAAAGAGACGTCCTTTAATTGCTCAATTCTTTACAATAACAGTCTGTTCTGTTCTTTTTTTCAACATCCTCACAATTTCTCAGAAATTTGTGCAAAGGTGCAGGGTTACTGGATCTGTAGCTCATTCAAAGATGCAAAATAAAAGGCACCTTGGCTTCATTTCTTCTTCTGTTGTACAACTCGTTGCTCCCAGTAGATTTGTTCTTCAATGAAAGTCTTCTCTCCTACCTCATGGGTAGGCTTATGTCTGTTTTAATGCTTGAATTTATTACATGTCTTTAGCGATCATTTCTTATAAAAAATTTGTGCATCCACTTAGCCAAGTTAAGAGCCCTAAACCACAAACCTTGTTTCACAGTTCTCAGACCAGGTTTTACTACAGTGAAATGCAAGTTTACAGCTACCAAGGTCCATCAGAAAATCTTTTGCAGCCTTTGACCATAAAGCCTCCCATGCTTTGCAATCTTCAAGCACAAGGTTCCTCTGACAGTTTGAATTCCTTGCACAACATTTCCCATGACAAATAATGTTTCCATGCTTTCTAGCCCACATAAAAAAGGTTAAAAAAGGGGCTGTTTATTTGTTCTTTTTGGATGGAAGTGGGGCATTCTTTTGAAGTTCTGTATGCTCTGTAATCTTCAAGCGAACAGTTCCTCTGTTGGTTTGAACTCCTTGTACGACATTGCACCTCAAAAACTTCTCAGCACTTTCTGCCTCAGCTAGAAGCTCTGCAATTTTTGAAGGATCAGTCTCATTTTTGTGTTTTGCAAACTCAGTTCTTATCCTGTGCTTGCCCGCCTCCAAGGCCTGTAAATCTCCTTCAAATACTTTGAGTCTTGTTCTGTGAAGTAACCGGTAACATGATAACACCTACAGATATGAAGATAAAAGAATTATTGGGGATTCAGATCTCTTCAAGGTAGAATAGAATTGCCAGCCCAGCAATAAAACCCACCGAAAAAAACAGCTCTAAATTTCATTCCTTCACCAAACTCAAGTCACTTCGTACTGTTAACATCAGTTGCATAATCATAGTTTACTTTTGTTGGTTTTCCTAACTCATATGCCTTGCTAAAAACGGTACTCACAATTTTTTTTACAATTTATATAGGATTTAATGGAGCCAAAACAAATAATAATGTTATAAAAATAAATACATTTTAGGCATACTACTGATGAACAGTATGACTTGTAGATATTTTTAGTGACAACAATTTGCCTTCTGTCTCCTTCTGGTCAACCTTAATCGAAACTTGATGCAATCAAAAGGGTGATACACATGCACTTTTGACCTAATTCAAAATGATGCCAAAAAAAGTTAATGACCCCGACCTCATCTCAAGGGTCTTGTTGTTTTCCAACTTAGAGGAGGAAGAAGAAGAAGAAGAAGAAGAGGAGGAGGAGGAGAAGAGATGCAAATGAGGTTGTCAATAAGCAATAAAAAAAACCTGCTGAAAAAGGTTTTCCCCGAGTACCACAGGATACCCAAGTAACACAGGATTCCCAAGATTAAGAGTTGCTTTGCAATCAAGGCTCTCACTAGGATTTTAAGTTCCCTGCTATGTGTACCTAATGGCCAGGAAATCGAAGAGCTATTTAAAAAGGTCTTTTGGTTCTATCTACCTTATGTTTCTTGTGAAAGTAGCCAGGGAAATTCCCCAACCACCAGTCCTCACTAACAGCCCTGATATTTAATGATTATGTATACATGTTTTGGCTCTCTTCATATTAATAATAGATTACTGTATGGGGCTGTACGAAAATCTTACACTAATACTATTCTCAGCTCTAGATAGCTATCCACAGACCACAGCAGAATTTGGAATTTGAAACATCACAATTGAATTTATCTGTTTGTACTGGAAGATCTTCAAATTCAAACAGATGCCACCTCCCCCTTAATTGCCTGGATACATCATCTTAGTCTTCAGTCTCAGAGATTCTTTACGATATTCAAAAAAAACTAAATTGGTTCATTTCTCTCTTACCTTTGACCTCAAGCCGCTCATTGTAGTCGCAGGAGAAGGCTTGGTCGCAAAGGATATCGCAAAGTACTGGTACTAGCTTCGTTCTCAGTCCACTAACGGTAAACACAAGATGGCGACAACATCGACAAAGAAAGCAAGGAAACAAATTTCTCAACCTATTGGTCCTCGCAAGTCGGATAATTCGTCCGGGAGCACATACAATATTTGGTATAATAAGAAAGTTGGCGAAAGGATTCATTCGAGGGAAAAAGTTAAGGCTAGTACACGATGCAATATTTCAAAAGACAGCGGGGAAACAAAAGGTAGTTTAAGGCAATGGGATGGAACTTTCCTGTGTTTAAAATTTGCCAGAGGCTGTTGCCCATTTGGACATGAATGCTCATGGATTCATGGTTTGCCTTCCGATGAATTTGATGCAAACTTGGAGGCGACAAAAGACTGCTTTGGTAGAGAGAGGCACGAAAATGTCCGAGAAGATCAAAGTGGGGTTGGTTCGTTTTCAGCCGACCCGCAAACAGCGAGGACTCTTTATGTTGGAGGGATATCTGTAACCCCTGATATCCAATCCATTGTATATGAACACTTCAGGGAGTGGGGGGAGATTGATAATGTGAGGGTATTGCAGTCAAAAGGTGTGGCATTCATCCGCTACAAAAAACGGTCAAGTGCAGAGTTTGCAAGAGAGGCCATGCAGAATCAATCTCTAAACAGTGGCGAGATCTTAAATGTGAGATGGGCAACAGACGATCCTAATCCATGGGTTCAAAAGCGAAAAATAGAGAGAAGCAAAGAGCAGCTGACTAATGCAATTTTAGAGGACTATGATGGACCACTGATAATTCCTCAAACGAGAGATATATGGGGTCCTCATGAGAAGCGTTTTCGAAAGAAAACTGACTCTGTGGACCCTGCAGAGGCAGTAGGTTATTACCCAGATACTGATTATCAATATGCTGTCTCGGATTTTCAATCCAGCTTACAGGTCAATGATATGCTTTCTAAACCAGTGATAAGCTACGGCACAGCAAGTGATGCACAACCAAAAACTTTATCTGATCTTGTTAAGTGGTCAAAAGATCAGGCACTTCTTGACAAAGCAACCGAACAATCACATTTAACAGTCAAGAAAAATGCAAATGAGGCCAACAAAACTGAACCAGGAAGTTTGTTTCTGATTTCTGCCTATGATTCCTCAAGTTCAGATGATGAACATTAAAATGAGAAAAAAGAATTTGTCACAGCCAGGTTCATTATACTGTGTGATACTTGTACGTATTTTCCATAAACATCTTATTCAATTAGAAAAAGCACGGTAAAAAAACAATGTTCCATGATGTTTTTCAGTGTCTTTATGACTGTCAAACAAACTAAAAAAAAAATTAAAATACATTTATTATTATCCTCTCTACTTACTGGGCTTTAAGGGATACTGAAAAAGTATTCAAATGGGAGGTAACAATTCCAACTGGCAGGAGGCAAACCAATTGGCTACTTCACAAGCGTGGCCAAAGATTTGTACTCAGGACTACCAAGAACAAATCCAGCTAGTGATCATGCAGGACTTGAACCTAGGGCCTCTGGAATTCACGTTCAGTGATCTAACAGCACAGCCAAGAAAGAAAACTTCGTAATTGAACCCCTGAAATGTTCCCAGACTCTTTATTGAGTTATGACGTATTAAATTGCAAAAATTTGTCTGGTGTCTGTGGTTTCAAATTATTGATACTTCTCTTATGGAACACTTCTGGTAAAATTGTAGCCAAATAAAAAGGAAAAAATTAGAAAATAAATGCTGGGTAAATAAATAAGTGTGCAGGAAAAAATACAAAATAATAAGCTTTCATGGAAGGCATTAGCATACCCGCCAACCCTCCCAGTTTTCCCGGGAGTCTCCAAGTTTTTCATCAAATCTCCCGATCTCCCGGTTAGAGCACCAAATCTCCCGGATAAAATAGACTTTTGAGCATTTCTGTACTTTAGTTTGAAATTTAGTCCATTTTTTCACAAAATTCGACCTTTTTTAATTCATTGTACAGTTTCTGGGACATTTTTGCACATGTTTAGTCAATGACAAAGATTAGTTCGTCATTACAATGATGAAAGCGCATTTTGATCCCATGTAACTCACTTAAGACGTCATATAATGTCCTAAGGCAATTTGTTGGTGCGGGGGGGGGGGAGTGGGGGTGTTAGTGCTGTTGACATTCGGGGGTGGGGGGGGGGGTGTAGTGCAAAATAGAGAGTCTCCAGATTTTAGATCTCCGGAGGTTGGCAGGTATGCATTAGACTGTTCACAGTCCTCTATTTTTCCGTAAGATCATCGAGATCGAGCGCTTTGCGTTACGGGTTACCATCTTGCATGAGTGTCAAAACTACCTACGGGGCGGGGGCGGTTTGGGAGGAGGCGAGAGAGAGAGCTATAATCCCTGACACCCGCCCCCTCGGTACATTTGAAAATCAAGATACCCGTGACGGTAACACGTGGTATATCTAAACGATCTCACGAAAAAATAGGGGACTGTGAACAGTGTAGGAACGTATTCAAAGGGGGAGGGAAGAGGGTAATTTTGGTGGATGAGAATGACGTGACAATTCTCAAACTGTTCGGGGGGGGGGTCTGTTGGAGGGCGCACTTCCGTGTTGAAGGTACTCTCACCATGATCCTTTTCGTACCGAGGTTCAAAATGGCTGACTTGAAAGGGAAATTGTAACGCTAAGTACAAGAGCGAAATATGAAGCGTTCTGTAGATCAACCAGAAGATTTGCATTCAAAAAGAGCTCGACCCGATACCCCTAAAACAAAGAAAACCTTCACTGTCACACCAATCAAAGCCTTTCGTGGAGAACTCCCTTTCTATCGTCAGCCAGTTGAGGTCGGGTGCTTTTCTCTCGACGAGAACAGAGGCTTTCACGATGACAAACGACAACTGAGGATTTTTAGTCCTCCTCACAGTGTAGACTTCGATCTGCGTGCAGGGTATAAAGAGTTCGTTAAAAGAAACGAGGATGAAAAGGAGGGACTGGAACATCTGTTGCAGTGGACTAACCGCCATCGGGAGAAGTTTGAAGTCATTCAGAGTCCTTCTGCAAAACGTTTTCCAAGCGAGACACCCTCTAGCACAAAGTAAGAAGAGTATACTGGGTATCATTTAAGTAAAGATAAGAGATGGAGGCCTGCTTCACGAAGCCCCCTTCAGTTAAGATATATTCTAAGTATTTTTCCTATATAAAACGGCAGCCCCTTGTTATGAACTAATCTTAACTTAGGGAGGCTTTGGGAATGGTGATTTTCGTTTTTTAGAAGAGGGAACTAAAAGTTGCATCTGTTGTGACAAAGAACTGGGATGTGCCAAGCAAAGAGAAAGGGTAGATGCTACTCTTTCATGAGGGTAGCAAAGGGTTTATGCGTGACTCGTGATTAGGCCCAAATTTAGTGTGTGACGCGTGAAAGTTCCTAAAATAGGAACGTGATCCATGAAACTAGTTTTGCATTTGAAGCATGATTTATCTTATAAGATGTGCGGGACTCGTGAATTATTTTTGGCATTTTTGGGATTGAACAGGGCCTTTGGTTTCATTCTTTGCATTATGTTTTTGTCTTGGTTAATAAATATTATTATTATTATTATATTATTACTACCAAAAGACCCCATGTGACCAGTGACCTTTGGGATTAATTTGTCCACTTCGGCAATTCTTGTGTTGCTTTGTTTTTGCGTTAAAGTGAGTGAATTGCCCTAACAAAAGGCCTTGAAGGTAACAGTTGCTGTAGCCTGCACAGCAGGCACCGGTTTTGTTAGGGGGAAGGGAGAAATTCTGAGGACACGCGCACACTCGAGGGGAAGAAAGTAGTAAAACTAAGCAAAAAACTAACCTGCGCCTGCCACGTAGGCTTAAGTCGCTAGCAGGTAAACAGAAACCACATCGGGGGCTTCGATTGTCATCAGTTTGAACGCAAGATGTCCAGAAACACAAGTTTCCACATCCATGACTGGTCGTTAACGCCCTTTAAGATCAGCCCACCAACACTGTAATGAGAGGAGAAGTGGGTAGAAACTGCGGTAGTCAAATAAAATGCAAATTGGGATCCATGATGACTGTGTTTCAGTTCTTAGCCCCTTTGATTAACAGGTGAGATTCATGACTCTGTGAAAATTGGTTTATAATCCATTTGATACGCAAAATTTTTAAAAATTTTTATGTGAAATGGGACCATGATCCCCTTTGCTACCCTCTTTCATAGTTTCCTACTTTTGCAGCCATTGGTTAGGGGTCATAGGTGTTTCAAATGGTGCAACGTAGCTACATGGCTATCCTCCTTGGAAGGCCTTGTGAAAGACCTTTTTTGTGGCAGGGGAGTGGGGGTTGGTCCAGGAGTAGTTCCTGTTTCTAAATATTGTTTTTGTTCTTCAAAATTCAAACCTCCAACCCCTCAGAAACATTAAACATCTCTTTCTTTTAACAGTCAATAAGCCTCTGCAGTGGTTGACATATTAATGTCAACACAGGTGATGTTTGAACATGAACTGCATTTTTTATGTCTTATCACAGTGGCAATTTCAAGAGTCTACCCAGTAAAATCTCGTTTTGGGTGTAAACCTGCCAGGTTTTTCAACATTGAAATCCCTGCTAAGAGCTCAAAAGATCAAAACAAACATTGCTTTCATGTATCTTCTTGGTATAAATTTCTCTTAGTGCCAGAAAAGACTTGCTTTTTGCTGACTATTAAATACCTGTTAGAAAGTAGAGAAGTTTGTTGAAACTTACTATAATCTTAAAAGTTGATATAAGTATTGTTTACTAGCTTACACACAGATTTCATAACATGGCGAGGACATTTGACAAAGATCATGTGCACTCCATATGAGACAAGAGACACCTGGGAGATGGCAGCAACCCTACACAATGGAACCATCTACATTAGTGAGATAGAGACTGAAGAAAACAGAGAGAAGCGTGAAAATATGGAGGAAAAACACAAAGAGATGTGTTACTGGGGTTATAACTTTGAAAGCTACGTTACGTCACCTGTAGACAAGAATCGTCATTGCAAGAATGGGGCGGTAGCAAAGACAGAAGGCTGTGCCAGTAATGACAGCGAAGCTTTTATCACAGTGATCAGAACCAGGCTGGGTAAACACTCTTTAGTGTTTGGTGCTGAGGTGGACTGCTGTGCCAAGGTTTGTTTTTTGTACATAGTCAAAGCTCTTGCAAGTGGCCACCTACGCAATTCGAAAAAGTGGTCATAACTTGAGCTGGTTGCTTACGAGAGCTTCAGAAACTCATTGATAATTCATAAAGAAAAAACAAGTCAGGCAAAGCGGTTGCTCGGAAATGACCTTGAACTTTCACAAATACAAATACTGGACTGTCAAGATCTTTATCAATGAACCATTAGTGCAGTATGCAGTTTCATTAAAGTGTTGATTAAGTGGTCGCTTATGAAAGCTTAAAAACAAAGGAAAAATCCAGTTGGGTAATCCCAAAAGTGGTCACAGTTACTTACAGGAGCGGTTGCTTATAAGAGCAATTTCATTACAAAGTTTAAGTCAAAGTTCAAACAGGGTTTTACAAAAGTGGTCGTAACTAAAGCTGGCCGCTAACGAGAGTGGTCGCATAGAGACCTTCGGCTCTAGTTTGTATTAAGACATTTGAGAAATTATTTAGGAAACCTTGCTTCTTTCAAAGACAAGGTGGTTATGACAGTATACAGTGGCTGATCCAGGGGAGGGGCCTGGATGACCTACCCCCCCCCCCCCCCCCCCCCCCCTCCCCCCCTGGGCCCCCCCCCCGCGCCTGGCCTAAAAAAACAAAAAAAAAAAAAATTATTTTTATATTTATTTTTGTCTTCTGGTTGCTACTTTTATATTTTATTTTATAAAAAAAAAAAAAAAAAAAAGAGAAACTGAA